ACGTTTGACATCAAATATTAATCAGACAGAAACATTGGAGGTCAATAAACCAGTATGTCTTGATTGGGGGGGGGACAACTTATCATTTGTGGCAGTCTATTTGTGCAGAAATTAAAATGATGTTTAGCACCGGAGATTGATAAACAAACTCTTGAAAATTTCTTAGGTTCATTTCTATCATCAATGAGGCGAAAAAGCAAATAGTGGTCAAAAATAGGCCTTCGATGGAATGGAATCACGAAGGATTTCCATCAACTAACCTTCGTCTCCCATTGGTGAAAACAAAAAACTTGATTGCGAGACATGGCGAAGTACGGTAGAATGCATATCTAAATAGCCTGTTAAAGAAGCAATCTTAAATGAGGCAGATAAACATATTATTTCTTTAATCGTAATCTGCATGTTAAGAGGGCAGTTCGACTATGACCCCCAAACTAACATTGTTGTTTCGTGATATTATCTCACTGTTTGTCTACCCTTTGAACATAAAATAATTACCTTTTGAGCCGTGCTACCGCAAATCCGGAAGAATATTGTTTCATGAATTATGTTACACGTATGCATCCAAATTTATCAGCTAAAACAAGTCAGTGATCTCGTCCGCTTTTCAGTGATTCTTTAAGAAAGGAAATAAATTGAGAAAAAATATCATATCTCAAAAAGATGGAAAGAAAATAGCGTCTTGCTCAAGCTGATGGCTAGGACCAGAGAAATCAAGCGTAATATCTGAACTTATGCACTTTCGAATGCAAATAAATTGGTTACTGATATTAAATGGCAAGATTTTGTACACTTTCCTTTGTGCGAGCCTTATGATACTTTTAGATATTGTAGTGAATTGCATACATGGTATTCGGCAGAATTCTAATGAAATCGCGAACGGCGGTCACTAACGAATTGCATTCATTTCCCAAATTGTACTTATTTGGAAAGTTAATCAAAGGAGCTCACTCTTTTATGATATGCTCAGAGGTAAATTATAACGTTAACTGGAAACCTCCAGGTTTATGAGTTAACTTATCCCTGCAGAATGACATATTTCACTGCATCCCTCAGGATTGCCTTGTATTGAAACCAGAGTCGGCTGAAGCCATGACAAAGCACAGCGTGTAGTCTTCTCTGTCCTTTCTACAGAGTCGTACTAGCTTATCAACCTCGGACAGAAAGAAAGCAAGTGATCGACGCGGGGTTCGAGTCCGGTACCTGTCGGGTCTGAATTCGACGCTCTATCAACCGAAGATTTCCTGTCTGAAGCAAAGTACGGTAAATTTCTTGTTCAAAGGAATTCGTAGTTAAGCTAAGTATAGCTCTTCATCGTCAGATTTGAACCTGAACATCCGAAATTCGCATACGATCTCTAATGCGTAATGCCATTGCGTCATCCGCTGGGGAATTAAGCATTTGTCTGCTTGCATAAGCGAAATAGCTCGGGTTTGTGATGTCCGCTGTACAAGCAGTTTTCCAGTACTTTGGTACATAAAGCACATGTCGCTGCATCGCAGAAAGAACTGTATTCTCTAAAAGCACAGCTACCTGTATTTCGTTCTCCATGTTGTCTGCTGGCCTACTGATTGTCGGTTTTTACTGACTGGTTCGGCTTTTGTATTAGAAACTGGCGGGCCTGATTGGAAGACTTATATTCAGTCAATCAATTTTTCAGTAGGGTTAACCTCAGTTACTTAATCTGCACGTCTACGGAAGAAATTTCCGTTTGAAAGAGAATGCAGTCATCTTGCGCAGCTCTACCATTTTACCTTCCGTATAAGCTGAGCCAAGTCACTGACCTTTGTTAACCGAAAACAACCGTTGTTATGGACAGTCGCGCTCTCCCAATATTTTTACAGCTATTCTTTGCTGTTTCGAACTGTGGCCGTCGACCTATCATCATCATAGTCACCCGTTTTTCTACCAGTTGCCGGACGAAGGCATCTCCAACACCTTGGCACAAACTTTAACATCGCCTTTACTGACAATTTTGATCCAGCGAATTTCTTTTGCTCATCCTGCCATCGATCTCTGGTTCTCTCCACGAGCCTTGTATTCTCTCTTGGAACGCAGTTTAATATCGCTCTGGTTTAGCGATGGCCGGTTCTTCTTCAAACATGGCCTCTCCATTGTCACCTTAACTCCTTAACTCGGAAAATGTCATCAAAGACCGTTGCTCGAGTTCTTATCCATGCATTTGTCTTCGTATCATTTCGTTTTATTCCCAACAAACATCTTTCCATGCAGTTTATGAATGGATTTCAGTGTTAGGGTCCACGTTTCGCACCCATTGGTTTGTACTGAAAGTGCAAGAATATGATCCCAGGGAGGAACATTTTCATCTTGTTCTTCGTCTTCCATCGCCTCTTCTCCTTTCGGGTCGCGGAGGCAGACGCGTCAGACAGTGCTTCCCACGTTCCCGATCCTGTGCCAGAGTCTGAGCTTCGGCAAAAAGACAAACGGAGTCTGTAACAGACTTCTTCCATGTGTTTGCACGAGGTTAATCTTGGCCGTCTCCTGGGCCCTCTGCCGGTCGGATTTGCTTAGCTTTCTTTTCTGTGGGCATTTGCAACACATACACAGAAACTTTTTCAATCATCCAAAATTGCTCCATGTCATTTTGATTCTTCTTTCGATTTCAAATAGATCAGTTATCCATTTCAAAGGTGAACTGTCCT